CTACAAAAGAGCAGGACTCAAATAGGTCCATCTCAGTGCATTTGTAACCTAAAAATAAGGAAGGTCTAGCTTCAATGAGAAGAGGAATGAAACCAATAAAAGCAATTCCTTTGTCAACAGCAACTCCCACTTGGAACTGCAGTGGTATAGCTTTTGGGGTTTTTTTTTGCTACTTTGTTATTTAAAGTGCATCTGTAGATTTAGGCTTTATCATCACATCTCTTACCTTGCAAAAGTCTTGTTAACTTTGAGTCTCTGTAGGGAACAAAACCACCCTTTTTATTTTCATCACCAAGAGCACTAATTACATTCCCCAGGCAGAGGAGACCTCTGTTTATGTTGATGCCTGCATACAAATAGATGACAGTGAGTAGAGCTACATAAACGGCTAGCAATTGGCCATTTCCTGTCCTTTCAAAAAAAAATTAAGAAAATTAAAAAAGCACATTATAAAGGTTAATTAAAGAACTGCTTTGCTTTTCCTGACAAGGACTCAGTTTATTAACTCAAAAACAGTAAGAAACCCAAGCTATACCAGTCCTTTTCCTACAGACCTTCTTTCAGTCTGTCTCCCTCAGCCTTGGTCTTCTTTTGTCTCTCAGAGCCAGCAAGATCAACCAGGTGTAGCTTGGAGTGAAAACTGCTGTTCCTATGGCAGAAACAGACTATTTTACTTTCTCAAGTAAATATGCAGTTAGGGAAGAAGCAGTCCAATGGTTACTACAGTTGAGCTACCAGGCTGAAAAATATACTTCACATCAGAGAGAGCCAAATAAAGGAACTGCCTCAAGAGTAGCTCAGCTGAGTTCATCTGAGACCAAGAAAGAATGATAGGACTGTAAGACTAAGTAAGTCTGACTCCTAACAGCTGCTAGGAGTGGCTGTGCAATCACACTTACTTGTCATTTTTCTTCTTCTGATCAATGCAAATGGTGAAGATGGCATGTGACCGTGAAGACTGGGAGTTCATGGCCGTGGAGGCCACCGTTCTGGAATTGTTCCCTTGCTCCAGGCAGAATACAGTATCTTGGGCACAGGTGACATTTCTTTCTGTTAGCCCTACAATCTGTATCCAGGAAGAAAGCATTATTTAGCCTCCCCTTCCTCTTCACTCTGACTTACATCAGAAAAATTATCCTCTGTCTTAGTCTACAGCAGATAAAGTGAAGCCTCTGTGCAGACATGCATTCACAAGAATCAGAGTCTCACTTCAAGCCAGAAGCTTGGTATGCATTCCCTCAGAAAAATTTGTTCTGAACTTTGTATGATAACATTAAGTCACATCACCTCTTCCTCATCCTACTCCTACATACACACCCCAAGTTCCTCTGTGCCTGCTTGAGAGCCAGCTGGGCTATGGGACGGAGGCAGGGCTCCTCAGTACCCTCTGGAGAAATCCATAGCTGCCCTCAGATATGCCTGGCCAAGCTAGGAGTTGAAAGTTGTGCAGAGGAAGGGGAAAACTGTCTGATGGGTGTGGGGACTTGTGTGAATAGAGTGGAGGGGAGGCAGGTATTAGGGACATAAAAGACAGAAGGGACTAAG